GAGCTCGCATGCCAGCAGCCCGGCGGGCAGGTTTCTGATTGCGCTGACGTTGTGCGGGACCCAGCCTTGCGAGAGGACGAGGTGGGACAGTTGGCGCCAGCTGCCGTTCCAGTCGGGTCCCGGCGACGCCGTGACGTGGCATGCGGCCCAGGCGTCTCGGTCTCTGTCCCAGCGAGTCAGGGCGGTTGGAGGGTGTTGTGGCTGTCGTGGCTGCTGCCCCTGCCGCTGGCAATTGCTTGCTACGCCGTAGGTCAGAGCGGGCGCCCAGGGACAACCGGTGAGGTCGAGCCAGCGGAGGCAGTATGTGTTTTTGGCGAAGCGGCGCAGGATGTTGGCGGCTTCGCTCCAGTCTTGGTCGAGGGCCGAGTAGTAGTGGGTTCCGCTCATGTTGACGGCGCGGCCGGAGGAGGTGTAGAGGGTGGCGGTGGTGGCGTTGGGGGTCATTGATGGCGTGGGCCAGTAGGCGAGGGAGAGGTGGGTCAGGGTTGCGAGGGAGCTGGACATGTTGAGGAGTTGGGACCAGGAGGCTGCCCGGGGATGGGATAGAGAGAGGTGGGTCAGGTGCGGGAAGCGGATGTTTGTTATTGATCTGGGGATGGGTGGGATATTGGCTTCGTCTTCCAACGCTGCCGCATCTTCCCACGAGTCTGTCAGTACATCTGCTGTCGAGAGTCGCCTCATACGCGACGTCAAATCCTCTGCGTTTGTCATCGGCGGCTGCCGAATATACTTGGTTAGATCTGCAACTGAAAAGTTGCGGCATATCAATCCCGACAGATCCAGGTGAAGCAGCTCATCGCTGCCCGTTGCTCCTTCCAGCTCTTTCTCAGCCAGGAACAGTATCCTCACCGTCTCCATCGTAATGAATTCAGGCCCGTACATGGCCAAGTGGCTCAACAGAGCGCTCTTCAACTGAACCGGCATAGTTGCGAGATAATGTTGCTCATACGTCAACAACCAGTCCCAGTTCGCAGCCAACGTCTTCAGCGCTTGATGTATCAAGCTTCTCCGATCCGGCATGCGTTCGGGGAAGAACGCCACGACGGGCCTGAACCGGCCTTGACCATCCCCGACAAGGTGGTCCTTTAGAGACGACGCAATGTCCCGCGGGGCATGTCGACTGGCATTCAACCAGCTCTCCGGCGCCGCAGGCCCCGGAACCCTTCTCCCATTCGCGGTCCTCGCCACCTGAGTCCGCGGTCTCAGTGGCGTCGCGGGTGTGATATTGAGTATTTGCTGCACAGCGGGGTGGACCGCGCGCTGCGTGAGGCTCTCTGCTATCTCATTGCGGCGTTCGACACTCGCTTTGGGCGTCTGCTCGCGGCGCAGCTGGTTCAGTCGGTCGTTGACGCTCCGGGGCGTGGGCGCCGTGCTCGAGGAGGACCCGGCTCGAGTCGAGCTCAAGGACGGATGGATGTAGTTGCCCGCGGGTTTGAAGTTCTGCTGGTGCTTCTTTGGCATGGGTTCGCGGAGACCGACAGGGCCTGTGCAGCGGAAGGGTGCTCGGGAAGTGAGACTGTAGAGGAAGAAAGGCGGGTGAGTAGGGTTAAGTACATGGTGGAAGTGATGTTGACGGCGTTCCGAGTCTCAGCTCCAGTCAGTGACGGAGTCATCCCGCCGCCTCCGCTGTATGCATGACTCACGATCCATTCAACACCAATGCTTACGTGAGTCAGACCTATTCGTCGTTCTTCTAAGCGACGTCGCTCGATTCCCGCAACACCATAACATTCCAGCTTTTGTTATTGCAAAGGCCGCCCTCGTGATGGCTCCACTTTGTCCTCTTCCTCCTCCTCCACCTCCCCCTCCACAGTAAGCCTATCTTCATTTTTACCACATTTCCTTTGTGCTGACAATTGCTCGGTCAGAAACACTGTTGTGCCCGTCATTCTTGATATCGACCTCACCACTGTCGTGGATATGACAAGGGCCATAAACATTGCCCCAGACAAGCTTGACAAATCGATATGGCACCTGCAAGACTCTGACCGCATACTCAAGCGAGGGCCCCACGTGAGGGTCTCAGAGGCAGAAGCACTGCGATGTGTTGCCTCGTCGACCCATGTGCCTGTTCCGGAAGTGTTCGGGGCTTATAAAAAGGATGGCATGGGTCACATCTTCATGTCTAGAGCGTCCGGAATCCCTCTCTATGACGTCTTGTTCACTTTGGATGAGGCACAGGTGGAAAGTGTGACCACACAGCTGTCGGAATTTGTCAGGAGCTGGATGGGTCTACGTGGCGATTATTTTGGATCCATGGGCTTCACAGCATGTCGCGACGTCTTTTTTCAACATTGTCCTGCCATAAATATACCAGACCAGGAATACGGCCCTTTCAGAACACGTACAGAATACTGCAGCGGGCTTATCGACGCACTTCAAAACTCCAGGCCTGGTAGAATATTCGATGCCGACGATGCGCACCTGATAGAGAAAATCCAGCGCCTCGGTGACGGATGCGGCGCCGTATTCTGCCATGGAGATCTGCACCCAGACAACATACTTGTTGACGATCAAGTGAACGTGGTTGCGATCCTGGATATGGGAGTTTCGGGGTTTAGTATACCTGAACGTGAATATTTTGAAGCAAAATCCCGCGCTCGGAATCCTGTGTGGTCTTCCATGATCGATCGTATAATCCCGAAGATATCAGACGACACTTACGCCTTACTATCAGAGCTTGAGCGCGCGCTCGTACGATACAGTGGGATATGATGTTTATGTAAATCTGCATCTCATTCTCTATTTTCTTCTCGCTCCGGCCCATTTCCCACCTACCGCCGCTGCAACGTCCTTCATAGGCTTTCCAACAATTCCTTCAACCCAACTCGAGGTACCGGCAGGAAGTAGCTCCTCGGCTTCGAGTGCAATTACGCACTCGAGAACCCAGTCTTGACACCGGTCCTGCAGCAATCAGAGATATGTTCAGTCATTAGCAACGGGTCCTTACTTTGTTATTTCGCGGTGCTGGTTCTTCCGAAATGATCTTCACAACCTGATTGTACTTCGTCGACTTGATGTAACCCAAAAATACCCTCCCTTCACAACTCTGGCTTTCCAATCGGTATCCACTTTGAGTTTCGAACTGATAAATCAATCCCTTGAGAGAGATTAACTGTACGTGCAGGCGGTTCCCAAACTTCATTCCCGGGCTGAAAATCAAAAATCCCCAATGAGAACGGTGATTCGGGTCCTCTCCATCCCCATAGACTCCGATCGATAATATATAGTCCGACATCAGTTTCGCGCAGCACGCGGTGTTCGAGGCTCGGTATCGAAAAGTACTTAAGAAAGTTAGGTGGAGGGTAGGACTGACACGGCATAATGATCGAGCGGAGGCGTCTTGAGAAGATGTAAGATGCAGCAGACTATGTCTTGTTATGCGGCGCAGTTCATTTTAACCGCCGGTCGGGGGCTGCAGGTTGACTGATCTAATTGGTGGACCACACTCATTGGCTACACCTACCTGAAGACGGGTGCGACATCTCTGGTTCTCTTCGCCCTCTTGTTCTTCACAACAGGTATGGACGTACCCGTCTCTTGTACATCGCCGTCGCCCTCTGCCTCGCCCTCGACAGCGCCCTCTGCTTCTCGCCCAGTTGCCTTACGCTTACAGCCACGCTTCCCCTTGGCCTTACCTACCGCACCCTTGACCGTAGCTGCGCGCTCTTCGCGAACCCTCTCTCGGTCTTCATATTCCATTACCTTCGCCGTGCCGATGACTAACGACTATGTCGATTGTCGCACCTTGGCTTCCTTATTGATGCTACATAGTAGTTTGTTATAGTCTTCAAGGAGGCTCTGTTTGGTAAAGGATACTTTGGCGGCGCTTATAAGCTTCCCTCCATGCCTTTGCAGGCGTTGCTTGCCTGGTTCGTCAGCGAAACAGATATCCTGCTTGATCAGGTTGTGCAGCGATTGTCAAGATCTCCACCATCACTCGTGTCACTGGTGTCACAGGCGTCATGGGAGTCAGCGGAACTTCGTTCTGTGCGGACGTTGCTGCCACAGTCAACTTAATTATAGTGGAGCTACTCAGATCTGCAGGCGGCTTGGGCATGTCACATAAGTTAACGCCCTTGCTGGATTGGAGGGGAACAACCCAGCAGCAGCCCACCCGGCCAGGATATTCCTCTTTTAGTGAGAGCTCTGTCTCTAGCTGGCCTACAGAGGTAGGTAAAATGCTGTTTGCCGACGGTATCTACGCTACCACGATTTAGTCGCTCAACTTATCCGCGATACGCAGTCTTCAGAGGCCCTAAGACCGAGATGTCGCAGGGCTGGAGCTTGTGAGAGGTATGCGAGGGCACTCGACAGAGGATGATGCTGTTTGCAAAGCAGAACCCCAGCATCTCAAGCATCTCACGCGTTGCAAAGCCGTCCAAAATCAGTACGCGAGGTTTGCCGTTTGCTATGCCTTTGCTCTCTGGATCGAACACGCGGGTGATCCATTGCAAGCTGATCTTGGAGTCATCAACTTATAGCCTTTCTCGGAAATGCCGTAGTGCCATTCAGGAGTCGGATGGGTGGTCCAGTTGCTTCTATGGGTCCAGATTATAAGAGGGTACAATGCCCTACATGACGTATCGCATAACGTTAGTTAGTCTGGAGTAATTGATAGACAGAGATAAGGCAGGAAATTTGAAATCATTGAGCGGCTGCATATTGTGCCGCACCCTATGCTGGGGAGAACATGTCGTGATTGACGGCCAATATTGATCAGATTGAGGTTCTAATAACTAGGAAGTAGACGCTAGATTGCGTTAGGTCCCGATGTTCCTCCGTAACCGACAAGGCGTACTACTACCGTGGCATGCTGCGGTGTACTAATAAGTTATGACTTGCTTGTAGCCGCTGTAGCTTGCTGCAGCTGTCGTTGCTTTATTTACAACAAAACAGGCGTCGTAAAGCCGGTCGGCAAAACAGTACAAGCTGCAAACTCATATAACGGCGTTACAAAAACAAAAGAAATACCCGCTAACTGTAACCACAACATTGTTTGCGTCGGCCGGGAATCGAACCCGGGGCTGGCCGATGTTGCTCTGATCATTAGGAAGGAATCCAGAGGAGATCAGATGGCAACGGCCAATTTTACCACTAAACCACCAACGCTGCTAGTGTGCTACGATGAAGAACATAGTAACGGCATGCAATATGAATAATTGAGATTGGTTGAGGAGAAAGTGGGGGAAAATCTCGTCTGGAGTGGGTCTTGAGAATATTTTGGGAGCACGGTTCAGTTAGGCGCTATGCCCGGATGAGGGAACATCATAACCACAGAAAAGCGAATTCGAGGACAACAACCTTCCAAGGGTATCGGCTCTGTGGGGGAGAGCTGAATTGGAAATTTGCAAGTCATACTGAAGCAGAGGAGCGTAGGAAATGACCTGACGGCATTCCTTCACACTCATCATAGTACCCTTGGCTTTCAGTGACAGTTGACTTCCTTTCGACAGGCTGTGAAGTTCAGCTATGTACTCATACGGCATGGGGGACGTCCACGTAAGCTGCAGTCATGTTCCATGACTGTCATGTCTCAGAGAACTATCCAGTATCTCAGGATACTTTTCCATTTCATATCTTCAGCACTGGAGCTTGTTCATCCCTAGCAATCCTCACCACCACCCTCCCACTAATCTCCCCCCGTTCCAACTCTCCATAGATCCCCTCCAACTCTCTAAACTCCCTAACCACCACCTTTGGCTTGACAACCCCCATCCTGACCAACTCAACCGCCTCCAAGCACTCTTTCAAACTGCCAACCAAATTCCCCGTAATCCTCAAACTCTTAATGACTATCGACGCCACAGGAACCTCAATAAACGCCTTTCCGGGCGGAATCCCAACGCAGCTCAGGACGCCTCCAACGCGCAGCATGTCTGCGGCGGATTTGAAGGCATCGGCGCTGTCGGCTGTGACGATGATGGCGTGTGCGCCGCCGGAGGTTATGTCGAGGACCGCGCATGTCAGGTCGCAGGTTTGGACGTCAACGTAGGCGTGGACGCCAAGCTCGTTGAGCAGATATCTACCTTTCTCCCAGCCAGCGTCGACTCCGACGACTTGGGCGCCGGCGGCGAGGGCGTATTGGACGGCTAGGTGGCCGAGACCGCCGCCGGCGCCGATGACGACGAGCCATTCGCCCATTGTGATTGATGTGCTTAGGACTGCCTGTGGAGTAGTTACTATCAACGACTGTTACCAAGCATAAAGTACTGAAGCATACCTACCTTATACGCAGTAAGTCCAGCACAAAGCACCGGCCCGATGACCACCGGATCCACATCTGCCGGCAAAATAGTCAGATAATCCGCATCCAGAGCGATATACTCCTGAAAGCTACCGGGCTCGTGGTGAAGATGGTTCGTTGATTTCACACAGTGCTGTTCCTTTTCCGCGAGGCAGAATTGGCAGCGGCGGCAGATGCGGCTGCTGAAACGGATGCCAACGAGCTGGCCGATGCCGATCCCTGGTTTGGTGTTGGGCCCTATGGCTACGACACGGCCGACGCATTCGTGACCGCCGATGTGAGGGAGGGCGATTTCGGTAATGGGGAGGCCGTCGGGTCCGGCAGCTGTGCCTTGCTTGGTGTGGAGGTCTGTGGTGATTCGAGTCGTTTGTCAGAATGATCGAGTTCCGGAAGACTCGAGACAGTCATGAGTTTAAAACGAAGGTTCATTTTTGCATGAACAGGTTTTTTGGGTGATCGGTAATGGTGAGAGACTCGCAAGCTCACCTCTTTGGCATACTCCGCTATAGAGTACCTTTGCGAGGACCTCATTCTGGCCAGGCGTTGGCACGGGATAGTCGTCTTGGAAGATGACTGGACCTCCTAATTCGTGGACCACAGCGGCGGTCTGGACTTTTGGTATCTTTGTATCTGATCTGGATGACATGGTGAGTTCAAGATCCATCTCAAGGTTATTCAACTTTGACCGAGGAAAAAGTACACAATACGGGTGATTTGGGTGAAGGAGAAAGCTTCCTCGCCAGGGTGGGTGCTAGACCTTTTTATCTTTGTCCCACGCTCCCTACAGTCCACTCACTCTCCACACTCTCCGCACCATGGACTGCTCTGCTTGGTCTCTTCCATAGAGGATCAATACTGGTGAAGCACAACTTTACTTAGAATGATGCCTTAGATATCGACACTAGGTTTGCAACGGTTCCGTCACTGCTGATTATTCGAAACCTTACTTGCTTTTGAAATCCAAATCATGTCCACCCGGGATTCTCGATTGGCTTTGGGAGCAAGACGTGGGTTTTGGAAAGTCTCTGGCCGAGCTGCTTGGTTGCATCGAGGTTTGTTTTCGAGTGAGCTCCTGCCAACCCCACATCTTCCGGATGAGGCATAAGTTAGCTTGAGTTAACTTAATTTATCTAGTTAAGCCGGACCGCGGGAACCGGTAAACCGGGGCTCACAACATCACCTTGGTCGTTCGATCACAGCACACCGTCTCTCTGCCATCACCTAGGACCCGATTTCATCAAACATGAGTCCTCTCAATAACCACACAGAAGGACAACAGATCTCAGCAACTTACACTACAACTGAATCAGACTCACACATAACCAAACGACAGCAGCTCCACAGACACGACCACCAGAGTCCAATAGCCCAAGCCAAAATGCTCTCAACCTCAAAACTCCCATACTGTAGGCCTACTGCGCAGGAAATCCGGTCTCTGCGGCAGGTCCTCAGCCCTTTCGTCCTCCTCAGTGTCCTCAGCGTCCTCAGAGTCCTCAGCGTCCTCAGTGTCCTCATCGTCCTCATCGTCCTCATCGTCCTCAGCATCCTCAGCCTCATTAGCCTCATTAGCCTCTTCAGCCCCCTCAGCCTTCTTGTCCTTCTTGTCCTTCTCCTCCAGACACTCATCAGGATCGATGTCTCTTGCCTCCGTCCAACGACCCTGAGCTCTCAAACGATTGATATTTGCATCATCCACCGCGCCCGCCTCGTACATCGCCTTTCCGAATGCCTCCTGCTTCGAGATGGCCTTTTCCTTCTCCTTGCGCTCACGCTTGAGCTGTCTGATGGCTTCATGTGTTGCATGTTTATCGGTGTAGAAGAACAAGCTGGTCAGAGGACGCAGCGCGGGGTTTTGCTCTGCGAGTGTGGTGGTGTGGACCGGGACTGTTGACTCCGGGTTTTTGACTTCCTGGATCGCCACTGTACCGACGAGTAGCTCGCAAGCGCCAACCACCTTCTCCGTTCCTTCTTTACCGCGTCTCTCATCGTTGACCTTGCCGAATGACACGCTCGCAGTGTTTGGCGGTATACATTCCATGTAGATGCGAGTCTGGATCCATGTCTTCAGTGGAACCTGCTTCTTAGTCTTCAGTAAATTCTGCTGCTGGGTATTCGGCTTGCCAGAACCAATAGCTTCTTCCATCATTTCGTGCACCTTTGGTGCCTGCAACCATCCGGCCACTGGCTTCAGATCTTCGAGCTCCCGTAGAATACGAGATTTCTTCTTGGTTTGTCCCTTGCCAGCATTCGATTGGCTCGTGGTAGCTCTCTTTCTCTTCAACTTCCTCTCCAACTCCGCTTCTGCCGCATCCTTCATCTTCTTCTGCACGCCGTTCGCGTACTCGTCTTCGGAGATGTGGTACCCCTCCTGATCCCAGAAGTGGAGGAGGTTGATCTCGCCGGAGACGGTTTGATTGTCGTGGACGGCGAGGAAGGAGTGCCAGAATGAGTATGTTCCAGCGAAATTCGGGGTCTCGATGTACGCGATGAAACCTAGGATCATCTTAAGAACGCCATCCCACCAGATCGCGGGCACACCATCGCCGTCGGGAAGAAACCTCGAGAGGCGACGGAAAGAATTGAAGAGAAGGTGCCAGTCGGCTGCAGGATTAACAGGCGCGACGCTATCCTCCATGTGCGTATCCCCGAATTGCGTACAGACATCTACAACGGCATCTGCAGGATCTTCATCATCGTCTGGAGGCGGCAAGACAAGAACGTCGTAGTTCCATTCGTAGAACCAACCGAGCATAGACGCGAAAACGGTGCGCTTGGCATCGAGGTCCGTCTTCGTCGAAGTCTGGAATGGCTGCTCGATCAGCCGACGCATATGTATGCGCGCCGGGACGTCCCTAGCCCCATCACCAGTGAGATTCGGAGACCTGCCGATTGTACAGTTCACGGCCAAGCGCTCTGGCAGACGCTCCATGATACTTTCGTTCTCACTGCGCGCACTGCGTTAGCAAGATTCTTCAGTACAGCAGTATTCGGTTGTCTCACTCCAGCCAGAGAGCAAGCCACCTCGCTCGGCCCTTCTGAGGCGTGATCAGAGTATGCTCCTCATCCGCGCTGGTCCACCTAGCACTTCGCTCTCCCTCACTGAGGTACTTCTTCTCTTCCTTGGATTTGCCGCTGTATGCGTTGATGCACCGGTTCAACTGAATCAGAAGCGTCAACCACACATCATCTGGGCGAATCAAGATCTTGCGATTCTCCTGGAAGCTGCAGATCAAGGCTTGAATGAGGCCGTTGGACGAGGCCGATGTGCGGCCGAACGATTCTTCGGGTGTGGTTTTGGCGGCGAGCAGATCCTTGGGCTTGGGGCCGGGCAGCGCAAGGTTGGAAAGCAGGTCGTCGTGGTCGGGGTTGATGTCTTCCATGGCCGAGTCAGCATGTTGCGGTTGTCCATGGTGACGCTCCGGGCGATAGTGCCAGAGGTTAACTTGGAGCGCCATGATATGGGTAGCAGCAGTGTTGACAATGCTTTCGGGTTGGACAGTGGCAAAGCTCAAGAGTGTGTCCAAAGTAGGGTTCGAGAAGGACCAGGGTACATGTAAGAAAGAAGGTGGAAAATTCAGAGCGATGCGTGACGGGGATTATTATTGACCTCGTCTTATTTGTGACGGGGTTGTTGTTGACCTCGTCTTATTTTACCCTAGCCCGATTAGGCACTATGAGCTGGCGACCATAGCAAGTCACTTGCGTTTTCACGCCGGAGAACGCACAGGATAGTGCTTTACGGAACCGCGAAGCTATATAAGGGCTTTCACAGAAATGTCTATAGCAAAGGTAATAGAAATGCTTGGGCTTGGGTATAGGTTCTGGTTTCGACGAGAAACGCAGCCAAAATCCGGCGACACTAAAC